CTCATTATCTTTTTCCAACTTTTCAAAATCATTTTCAAGAGTGGAAAGGCGTTTCTTTAACGATTTGTTGAGTTTAGAAGCGTTAACAAATTCATCATAAAGTTCGTGAAGTGCTTCTTGCATTTCTTCAAAAGTGTAAGAGTCGGAAGAAATGGTACATACCTCTTGTACATCGTCGGTTTGGTCTTCGTGTGCCATGAGACAGAGGTTGGCAACTTCATCCTCATCTTGGTCGGTGGACTCGTCGCCGGAGTCTCCACCCCAAGAGATATACGCCTTTTGCCTTTTGAAGTGTCGAGCATTCCTTCCGCTTTTCGGGCATTTGTTCTTGATGTGCCCGGCTTCTCCACATCCATAACACACAGGGCCATCCTCAACCTTTTCTTTCTTTCTTAGAAGTTTGCAGAACTTCTTCATGACAAGCTTTACTTCATCATCGACACTTGAATCATCCATCGTTGATTCTTTGACGGCTTTTAGTGTTATCCCTTTCCTTTGGTCATTCAAAGACGGATTAAAAATAGTCGATTCATAGGTTTTTAGATTACCTCTTAGGCCATCGATGGTGACATTTGATGTGCCGATTGATTCATAGATGACATCGGCCTTGGATCGCCATTCGGATGTCAAGCTCCGTAGGATTTTTTGCACAAGATCCCTGTCGGTGTACGTCTTCTTTAATGCATGAAGATCGTTGACTATCTTGGAAAATCGGTCTAACATGTCGTCAATCTTCTCATGCTCCTTCATCCTGAACATTTCATATTCTTGGGTGAGGAAGCCAATCTTGGCTTCACGTACTTGGTCCCTTCCTTCGTACGTCACCTCAAGTTTATCCCACATCTCTTTGGCGGTTGAGCAGCAAGAGATCTTGCGGTAGTCATCAGGATTTACGGCACAATAAAGCATGTTTATTGCTTTTGCATAATTCTCGACCTTTTTGATGTCCTCGGCATCAAACTCGTCTTCGGTCTTGGGGATCAACTTGTCTTCGACTTTCTTCATCGGTACCTCTTCCCCGTTTTTGATAACCAACCATAATTGGAAGTTCGTGGAACGAATATAGATTCTCATTCGTTCTTTCCAATATGTATAATTGGTTCCATTAAAAAGAGGTGGCCATGTGGTTGATTGCCCTTCACCTATTCCTGCATACAAATTTCTAGAAGAAGAACCCATGATCGCTTTACTCTCAAACGGTTAAGTTTGGACGCGAGTTAGGCTCTGATACCAATTTTTAGAATAAGTGACCAACGCTAGAGGGGGGGTGAATAGCGTTTGATCGTAGAAATCGCAGGAATAAAAAAAACTTAAAAGAGAAGTAAAGAGAAGAGTAAGAGGCACACCGAATTTTACCCTGGTTCACCACAACTTGTGGCTAATCCAGCCTCCCGAGAGACTCTCTCGAGCTACACTACTTCCGTTAAGCTTACCGGTGCTTAACAAACCGTTACAACCTGAGAACTCGAGTCCCACGAGCCTCAACAACACTTGCTTGAAGATACCGCACTCCAAGACTTCAACCCGAAGGAAAATACCTTTCCTTCGTACAACCAAGGGAAACAAGCTTCCCTTAACGTGTATACAACACAAAGACACTCAAGAACAAGACTCTCTTTAAGAGTAGATGTTGAGTAAACTATATCCGCTCAAGAACAACTCAAACTTCACAAATTGGCTCTAGAAAGCTATGGAAAATAATGTTGTTTGGATGCAATAATAATATGAATAAAGTGAAGTGAATTGATGAGAAAAGCAGACCCAAACACCCCTTTTTATAGTGCCAAAATAGGCTCCAACGGACCAATGCATTAAAGGGGTGATTGGCTTGATTTATGGGATTGAAAAGATTTGGGATCTGCAGAATATTCGCTTCCCAGCGATGTATGGACATTACCCATCGCTGGTAGGCCAATTTTCCTTCAGTTTTGAAGCCAACGGTTCCCTACCCATCGATGGGTACAAGCTTCCCATCGCTGGGTGGGAGGTTGACTTCCAAACAAGGAAAGAATCAACCTTAAATGACTTCCAACGGTCATGCCTTCCCATCGATGGTTAAGCCTTCCCATCGCTGGGTAAGGGCATTCTGCCTTGTGATAATATTGGACCAAGGCTTGAAGAGCGATGGGTAGAGCTTCCCATCGCTGTTTGGCATGGTTCTGGAAGTTGGTTTGGCTAAGGGGCTACTTACCCATCGATGGGATGTTCTTCCCATCGCTGGGTGGGTGGTTAGCCAAAAACCTATGGTTTTTGCCTTAACCACGGCCTAGCCAACCGATGCAAAAACCGACCGAAAAATCCAAAGTTCTCCAAAAAAAAACCAAGTGTTTAAAACACTTATTTGATGTATTTGGCTAAGAAATCAAGTGAGACACTTTAAAAATCACGTCATTTGGGTAAAAACCACGGCTAGCCAAGTTTACGCCGTTTTGCGTGGTTTTTGTCAAATGACTAAAAGCGAGAGATGGTTTTCAAAGTGTTTTTGTTGGAGAACCGTTTAAACATGCCAAAGAGTGAAAGCAGATCATAAAATGCTGAAAACCACTTGGTTGGTTTGGATGCCAAAAACCAAACCCGACAACCGAAAGCCGAACGCTGGTTTCTGAGAGCCGAACACTGGATGGCTTGGTTTTTTGTTTGGGTGAACACCAAGTGTTTTTAATGACTTAAACAAGTTTAAAAACATTTTTATGATGTAAGAAATGCAATGAGAGTTTTTTTGCCTAAAGAGCCAAGGTGTAAAGATTGGGTCGGTCTTGTTCACAATAAAGGCCGACTCAATACTATGACTAAGGTCTTCGTTTTTGGTCTTCGTTTAGCTCTTGCTCTTATCTTCGTTCTTCGCCTTGTATATTCAATGTTCGACTTGATCACGGCGGTTTGGCATTATCAAAACCTGTTACAAAAACGAACACGGCTTTAGTACGAAACCGTGACAAGCCCGTGTTTCAACAGGAGTATCAATAGATTATGGTCCGACATTCACGCATGCGTGGTGCTTGTTGAGAATGACTCCGATTTGCTGGGATCATTTTCTGAGGTTATTAGAGCACAAAAGATAAAGCTGCAAGGATTGTCTGTTTCTGATGAATTACAGGGTACAAAAAAAAAATGTTTGAATCTTTCTATGGCATAGCCTCCCCTTCTGAGGTCCGTGTATTACCCCCCGAAAAGGTGCATAACAAGGGAAGTGGTAAGTGAATCAAAAGTGCAAAGGAATTAGCCATCGAACAATCCAAGAAACATAAGAGACTTTGCCGAACTTGCAATCAAACAGGCTTCCACGATAGTCGAAACTGCCCGCTTAATAAATCAACATCATGATTTTGTAATATTTACAATAAAATACTATTTTTAGCCTCTACACATCTCTATTCCCTTATGCTTTTTGTTAGTGTCATTGATTTAAGTTTCAAGGTCAATATCCTAGACAATTCCTTTGCATACACTTCTTATTATTGTTCATTTCTCCAATTTATGTTACCGTTTAAATAATGCCTAAACTGTTTTCAACCATTTAAATAAAATGAAATGACCTGATACGGTGTAATGCACAAAACGGCATGCATTATGCATTACACACCTCTAGGCAGTGCAATGTGTAACACTGTACATACAACTACATATATGCTCTAGTCTATCAAAAAACACTTGGACCACACACCATATGCACCACACATCATGTCCTCGAGGAGTAACTCTTAGAATGTCTCGACCCATTCGTATGGGTCAGGCTCTTGATTTCTTAAAGTGTCTCACTTGATTTCTTAGCCAAATACATCAAATAAGTGTTTTAAACACTTGGTTTTTATTTTGGAGAACCTTGGATTTTTCGGTCGGTTTTTGCATCGGTTGGCTAGGCCGTGGTTAAGGCAAAAACCACAGGTTTTTGGCTAACCACCCACCCAGCAATGGGAAGAACATCCCATCGATGGGTAAGTAGCCCCTTAGCCAAACCAACTTCAAGAACAATGCCAAACAGCGATGGGAAGCTCTACCCATCGCTGTTCAAGCCTTGGTCCAACATTATCACAAGGCAGAATGCCCTTACCCAGCGATGGGAAGCTTTACCCATCGATGGGAAGCCAGCGATGGGAAGGCTAAACCATCGATGGGAAGGCATGACCGTTGGAAGTCATTTACGGTTGATTCTTTCCTTGTTTGGAAGTCAACCTCCCACCCAGCGATGGGAAGCTTGTACCCATCGATGGGTAGATAACCGTTGGCTTTAAAAACTGAAGGAAAATATGCTTACCAGCGATGGGCAAGTTCCAAACATCGTTGGGAAGCCAATATCCTGCAGATCCCAAATTTATTCAATCCCTTAAATCAAGCCAATCACCCCTTTAATGCATTGGTCCGTTGGAGCCTATTTTGGCACTATAAAAAGGGGTGTTTGGGTCTGCTTTTCTCATCAAAAGTGAAGTGAAATAAGTATAATAGTAACGTAGGTTTGTTGTAATAAAAGGTATCGAAATCTCTCGGTTAAACACTTCAGACTCAACAAGAACTCGCATATATCAAATGAGTTGTAGATGAGAATTTCTCTCAGAACAAGAACTCTGTTCTTAGTGTTGTAAACACGTTTAGGGAAGCTTGTTTCCCTTGGTTGTACGAAGGAAAGGTATTTTTCCTTCGGGTTGAAGTCTTGGAGTGCGGTATCTCCGAGCAAGTGTTGTTGAGGCTCGTGGGACTCGAGTTCTCAGGTTGTAACGGTTTGTTAAGCACCCGTAAGCTTAACGGAAGTAGTGTAGCTCGAGAGTGTCTCTCGGGAGGCTGGATTAGCCACAAGTTGTGGTGAACCAGGGTAAAATTCGGTGTGCCTCTTACTCTTCTCTTTACTTCTCTTTTAAGTTTTTTTTATTCATGCGATTTCTACGATCAAACGCTATTCACCCCCTCTCTAGTGTTGGTCACTTATTCTAACAATGAACTCCTTCTCCTTCTGCCCTACCATATTAAGGTAGGTGAACTTCTTCCTCTTGATGTAGTTGTCCTGGTACTTCTTGCGGAAAACTTCGGCAAGTTTCTCAAAAGACCCAATCCTACCATGGGGAAGGCCGTTAAACCATTCCACTGGCCTCCCTCTCAAGGATGAGAAGAAGAGTAGGCATTCCTCAACATTAGTGCACCCGGCCATCTGTGCTGCATTGTGGAAGGTATCAAGGTGGACGTTTGGATCCTCCTTTCCTGTGAATTTCTCCAAATCCAGCTTAATCTTCCGCCTTAACTTTTGCGCATGTACCCTGGCCGAAAAGGGAGATCTAGCCAGGGTGTGCTTTTTCGCTCCCGCCTTTTCTTCCACCTTTTCCTCCAGGGCACGTAGCTTTCTTGCTACGCTCCCTATCTTGTCCAGGTCATCCTCATCGTATGAGAGCCTGGTATATGCCGACGCCCTGGGCTGGCTTTCTGCTTCCTCCTCGTCCTGGTGAATCGTCTCAGATTCCCTAGAACGATGAGATTGGGCGTGACGACTCCCGCCTAGTCTTTCCATTTCGCTAGTCCGGCCCATCTCAGGACCAAGACGTAGCTTGGCAGACTTGCGGGGTCCATCCTCTTTGTCCCCTAGGCGTTTGAACACCGAATCTCGAGTCTTGCTGGGTTTGGCTATAGCCTTACCCTTCCTCCTGCGGGCCGCCTCCTGCTCCGCCTCATCGATTTCATGGACATTTGAGGGCGCTGTTTCATTCATGGTCTTCGTCAAATTCACCGGACGTATAGGGACCATCCTAGGGACAAATGTCGACGGGGTCTGTAACACCCCAACCCGCGTGACCCGAATACAAGGACCAGCGGACCGGGTTGTCACTAAATTGGTATTTAGACACATTAATTTTCAAAACAATTTAAAACATTTATATCAAAACAATATTTAAAACATTCATCGGAGTTAATAAAACGGTGCGGAAGCCTTTAAGTACTTGATCAAAATACAACTTTGGGTTATTGCCCTTTAAAACATAAATAATTCAAACTTAAGTATTAGATAATAAACTCCTCCAGCCAGCATCCATCCATCTCTTCACCCCCGCTGCCTCCAAGATTGTCTCATTATTCATCGTTCCTGTTACCTACGTGTAGCAAATAGGAAAAAGGGCTACACGCTCAGCATTGAAGCTGAGTGGAACTATCTAACGTTCGATTACGCACATAGACACACTCACTAGCTCATAATTCCATACAATATCATGCACATAAGCACAACATCAATAATATCATATAATTCACCAGTTAAGCATAACTACCATAAATAACAAACTTATCTCATAATCCACTTCTTTATCTCTAGGCTCATAACCTATCCTAGGCTAAGGCCAACTACTTTATTCTAGAGTCCTGATTCAACCACATCCATGGAAGAACCCGCTCGATACGACGTCATCCAACATCGGCTGGGTGGGACCACCTACTCACATCCATGAGCAGATCTACGACCCCCGTGCGCACGCTCTACCCAACTGATCATGCGTGCACGCCGGCTCATCACATGACCAGTTATTCCTAATTGTACTCTTTATTCTATTTTCTCAGTCTACGTATGATTCATCTAGGTAGCCTATCCGTATTCGAGTTCATAATTCCATATTTCCAAATTCATACAAGAACACAATATGTTAAATAACATTCATAGTCAACAAATAGATAGCGGCCTAGTGTCGGGTGTAAACACCTTCCACTTACCGTCATGCAAATCACACAATTTAGAGTAAGAAACGTACCTGGTCATTCTTGTTCAATCAATCCCAATATTATCATATATTATAGATAAAGCATAATTCATTTATAACTAAATAAACCACGTAATCAATTATACGAAATTACGAACGTGAATTTCAAATCTATATACATAATCTAGCGTTAGATGTGCAAGTTCTGACCTCGATTATTTGACGGGTTAAACAAAATAGACAGACGGAGAAGACGAACAGCGGCGGCCGTTCGTTCCTTGGCGACCACGGGCAGCGGCGACGGCGTGCAGTTGGCCGGCGGCGATCGCGTCGTGCTCCTGTTCCGTTCTGCGGCTGTGTTCTGATCTCTTCTCCAGAATCGTGCGCAGTACTTCCGTATAGGTCTTTATTTCCTTTTCTCTTTTAGCTTCTGTTGTTTCTTTTTTGTTCTGGTCTGGCGTGGGTTTGTGTTGCGTGTATATATAATATAAGGGAGGGGAGGGTTTTGGTTTCATACCGTGGGTAGGAGTAGGTTTAAGAATTATAGTGTGTATATTATTTTATTATTATATTCTTATATTTACTTATTGAACTGTAATATCTATTTTACTCACAACGCTTTATACATAAGTCCAAATCAAATAAACTATATACCGTTGGTTACCATTTTTCGAGATCTATCCGAAAACCCAATTTTCATCTAAAACGGATAACTTTACAATTAATCCATATTTTAGAGTAATTAAATATTATATTTATTTTTATTAAAATTACGGCTAACTACTAAGCCAGATTTCGGGTCGTTACAGGGTCGACACCGGAGGTGGCATAATTGGTGGCGTCATGCCAGGATAGGCAAATGGCATGAAGCCCCCTGCCTGTTGCATCATGGCCATCACCTGTTGATAGCCCTGCAGAGCCTGAGCATTTGCCGGGTCAGCAGCAAATTGAGCCCAAGCTCACGGGTATGGTGTGAATGCTCCCCCTGGCGTCGTTATCGAACCTGGGAACATTATTGTCGTTGGCGTAGGAGTAGGGGTCAACATGATTGGGATCATGCCAATCGATCCTACCGTGGTGATCGGGGCAAAGGTTGTCCCCATGCTTGTCAACATCAATGCGATGGCAGGAGTGCTTTCACTCGCAGCCTGGCTTGACACAGTGTTGTGGTTGCTTGAAGACATGATTGTGGATATTTAGTGGGGTTAAAGTTTTGACCTGGTCGAAAAAACTTTAAGAATAGGTCCACACATGGCGCCAAAAATGATGGTGTAAATAAAGCTGGGTGGGTTAACCGAGTTTGACCTGGACACACTCGACCCGTAATATAAAACACACAACAAGAACACAAAGTATGACCTAGACCGGGTAAATCTCCTCAGTTCGAATTATATTTTTTTACTCTATCTCAAGAGTGAACTTTAGTGAGAGAAATATTGGATCCCCTCTTCTATCCACAATCATCATATTTATAAAGGAGGATTTGTGACCTTCCCCTGTTCATCCATGGACAAAATACGAAGCCTGTGGGAAGGTCACTGTAGTTAATTGAAGCACTGTACAATCATAGATTTTAATAGCTACAAGCCAAGACACTGTTCAATCAAAGACTATAAATGGATATTCTCAATCCACTCAGCCCTGCAAGGTGACAAACATCCCTTTCACTATTTGCCTCGTGATGGACGAATGACGGGGTGGTCCCTCGATCTTTGACGTGGTTCACCATGCCTGAGATACTGGACCAATGTTTTCAAAGGTTACCCGGTCATTTCTTACGCTCAACCCGTCTCTCTGGTCTTCTAAAATGTCCTTTGTAACATTAGGCGACATTTTGGCTATCGCCCAAAATGTGACCGGTCACTTTTTTAGTGGAAGTGACCGGTCAACTTTTGACCCGTCCCAATCGAAGAGTTAACCTCATTTGGTGATTGATAAAAGTGACCGGTCATATTTTGACCTGTCCCTTTCGGTTGTTCGGGTCGGGTATAGGGATATACCCATCATTAGTGAAAAAAGTTGGATGATTATAAAATTAATATTTAAACATATAAGTCCAAACCAACAAGTCAACAGACACCATTGAAATCCAAGTTGCAAAAAACCATAACAAAAAAGAAAACCAGTGAATTGGGTAACACCCAAACACCGCTTAGCCCAAAAATAATAGCATCTCTAAATAATAAAAATGTCAAGAGTACTTATAAATAGGAAATGCATAGTTTCCACGCCATAAGAGACTCTCATGCCCGGCTACATTCCTTGACCCTCTTCAAGATCACATCTTTTGCTCCTCGGTAAATTTATCGGTTTCTGATCACCCCTTGTCAAACCACATTCCCATTTCCTCAAAGATTGACCCATGTAGGTCTCCATATGTCTCATGGTTGTAACCCCATAATCATGGATCGTCTTTGCATCTCTCCACGGCATTTCCAAATGGCGTGCAGCTTGGCCCTTAAGCCTCAAAACCTTCGCACCAAGGCCTTTCTCGTCGAAGAAACGCATAACCATGTCTCCCTGCAACACAAATATAACAACATGCTTATATTCAAGGAAGAACCCGCATATACCATTATTAAAACAACCCAAAAATCCAAAGCCAATCTTCTCTACCTCAGATCGTTGCACTTCATTCATGCCTTTAATCGCTTTAATCAATACATGAGGAGATGACCTAGTTTTTAGCTTCTCATAACCAACTTTAATGTCTACCAGCCGCTCTTTTATCACTCTCCCAGTTCTTTCTCTTCCAAGATTAGGTGGTTGCTTCTCAAAATCATCATCCCCGACTAAATTTTCATCGTCTCCCTCCTCAATTTCAATATTAATTGGACTTGTGTTCACATTTGATTGATTTTTCTTACGGACACTGAGCAATCTGCTACTCCGTCTTTGAGGGGTCGTTGATGGGATGTTAATCGTGGATTTTGGAGCTCGTTTGGCCAAAAGTGTACCTATATATGGTGTTCATTACATTTGAATTAGAATAAAACACATCTACACTTTAATAACACTAAATTCAAAAATAATGATGTATAAAGAATAAAAAATGCAGACTTTTCGCCATGTCTGTTAATGTAACATATTCACACAACTTCAAAATCTGAACACATTACATCACATAACCTAAATTACATCACATTCCAATAGAAATGCATTAATATCATGACAAAATGCACAACTAACTACCCCCCGCACACATGATGCACCCGCAATAAAAATCAAGACGGATGCTTTGTTAGGCTATCAATCCAACAAACATAGGTCTCCATTGCACATTATAAAACACCATATGCACAACACACTACTTGCAATGCACCACAACCCACATATTAAGCAATCGAAGGAAACCCATAATGCATGCATTCTTACATTTCAATCTCACAAAAATATGTGCCCCATGTACACAACTGATGCACTTCAGTACTCAACCAATGCAGTAAAACATACCCTATACACACTATGCACCATATTCATCAAATAATTTGGAATTTACTACATATTAAACATACAACCCCCACCCACCCCCACCCAACAAAACTGCACACATTCGATCAAACCCATCATAGACTTCCAGCATCAATCTCAAAAAAAATTGGGAAAATCAAATATATTTTATCACAGTGCACACTCATCCTCTTTTCTTCAAATCATATACCAAAGTTGAAACATGCAAGTACACATATGAACTCCCCTTTCATCCATGCAACACGCCCCACAACCAAAAAAACACAAAATTACAGAAAAAAACCTGATCGGAGAGGAGTTGCCTCACTTGGTGCCGGTGTCGCATCTTGTTCCGCCATTGATGCTTTAGAATTCCTTCCAGTCACAATTCAATTCTTCTTATGCCAGCTGCCGCACAGCTAAAATCGCAATCTTCGATACACCTTTTGCGGCGAACAATGCTAAATTAACGCCTAAAACCCAGTGCAGTCTTGGTAATCCAATTAATTATGGAATCTGGCCACATGGTATATTATGCTACGTAATCTTCCTGAAATACCCTTATTCGAAATCTCTTAAGCCAATCATCTCCCGACTAACACGCTTCCCATTAATAATACGTAAAAAATTAAAAAAAAACAAACATCTTGCATCGTTAGATCTTACTAATCCAACGGCCCTCACCCATTCTTATTTCCTTCACAGTGATGCATTCTCACCCGATCCTAGGGAGCGGTTTAGGTGAGAATGTACCTTGGTAAAAGAAATAAAAATAAAATCTAGCCTTTGAATCTGATGCATCGTGCGGCTCAGATTGCATCCTGCACTCAGATTTTGAGATAGTGCATTTTTAAAAGATTTTGGTGCATTTCGACATGATGCATTTTAAAATCATTTTGGTGCACCTAATTTTGATGCAATCTAAAGCACCAGATTCATTCTTTTTTCTTTTATAAAATCGCATTCTCACATGAACCAAAATATATATATATATATATATATATATATATATATATATATATATATATATATATATATATATATATATATATATATATATATATATATATATATATATATATATATATATATATATTATTTTGGTTCTTGTGAGAATGAGATCTTATGAAAAAAATAAGAATGAATCTGAAGCGCCGGATTTAACACTCTTAATTGCAAATCATCTTTACTTATCAGGGGCAAATATGTATTTCCTTAATATTTCGTTTCTCTCTCCAATTAATCAACTCCTAAATTCACGTTTAATTTGTTCCAAATCTTTCACAGATACACAATCTGATTTCTTCCCCTTCCTCGTCTCATTCAGGATCCATTTCCCCTTTTTTCAAATCTAAGCCAGATCTTTCACACCAAATATTTATTCCAATCTATTTTTTTCGTTTCAAATCTCGCTCATGGTGCTTCAATTTCAAGAGGAAAGAGGTACAACCAATTTTATTGGGTCGAAATTGCAAAAGAAAAAGGTATCTTTGGTATATTTCCAGACCCGCCGTACCCCCTTTGAAGTTTTTACTTCTAATTGCCTCAATAACCTTTTTTTATTTTTGATTCTTGACTTATAATTTGTATATTAAATTTCGTGGTGAAATGGTGATACAATTTTTGTTTTTGTAAATGCTCCTCATTGCCACGACCCATGATGATTGAATTACTAGTAATGTATTTTTTATTGTATACTTAGTTGTTTGCATGTTTTTATTGAAATTTTTGGTTTTTTATATTGAAATTTTATAGAGTTATTGTTTTTAAAAATTCGTTTTACTTTTTTGATAAGCGTATAATCATGTATCTTTTCTTCCATTCTAATCTTTATATGTTGTGTAGAAAAAAACCTCTATTTGTTATTCTGGTTATTCTCTTGCATGTGCTCGTTGATGAAATTAAAATCTTACTGTGATTTGAAATATATTTTTCGAGAACTTTGGAGTTACTATCTAAATTTGTTCTAATAATTGATATTTATGGTGTGATATCTTGTTATAATTAAGTCTTTTCGGCACTGCTTTATGTACTACGGGCATTGTACTAACCTCATATTTTGATGCATTTACTTTGCATTTGTGTACTTTCTGATTAAACATTATGGTACTGAGTATAAAGCAGAAGACTTCTGGTTCATGCTTAAATGCATGATACGCATCCTAAATATCCTACTATTTACAACAGCAGGAGGAAAAATTGTCGCCCAAATGTTATATCAACCGTTCAACCCACGTTCTCTAGAAGAATGAGAGGCACATCTCTAGGATAAGAGCACTGGTAATGGGTTTGAAGCCCCGGGGCTTCAAACCTTCTCTCTCTGCCACGTCAGCTTTAACTTACACCCAAAATTCACTGGAAATGGGTTTGAAGCCCCGAGGCTTCAAACTAGGGCTTCAAACCTTCATTTTTTACATTTTTAAATATACATCTTCTAAAATTAAATTAATAAAATGTAATTAATTTATTATTTAATTAAATTGAAACACGAATAATAAAAAATACATTAATTAAATAAAAAACGACAATAATTTAAAAAAAAGATACATTAATAAAAAAACTACGGTAAATTATATTTCTCCTTGATCTCTCTCATTCTTTGCTCGTAGATCATTACTCCAAACTCCGACAACGTCCCGGGGTCGGTTTGCATGACTTTCATCTCGGCATCCTGCTCCTTTAGCTTCAACTCCTTCTCCTTTAAAAATGTATTACACAATTTTTTTAGACACCATTAAATATAATATATATAAATAAAAACATAAATATATTAGAAAAAAATAAATTTTTTACCAATGATAGGATGCTCGGAGACGTCAACCCAAGCCGATGCCAATATGCACTCCTCCTCCGGCGTCCACTTTTGGATTGACCGTGCCGCCTCGGTCAACGTGCTTTTGGCTTTGTGGATCCTCCGGCGTGTACTCTTTTTTGATCCGGACGGTTCCGGTTGAGTCTCCGGAACCAAATCTCGGTTGACGTACCCCGATTTTTGCGTCTCGTAGATCGGCGGTCGATCACCCCACTGTTGGTACAACCACATCGCGGCGTCACTCGGTGGGAGATCGTCGGGAAAGAAGCCGGAGCCGGAAGGATTCATGTTGAAAAGAGATGGGGTAATTTCGAATTTTAAAAATTGGGAAGAAGAAGAGGTTGAAGATGGAGAAGGTGTGAGAGATTGGGAGGGGGGTTTAAATTTATAAGAATTTTTTTTTTGAATTGGGGGGTGCAACGCCTATTATAGCCGTTAAGAGGGGAGGGGAATGGAATGACGCAGCGTCATTCCTTTGACGCACGCCCGATCACGCCCAAATAACGCCGGAGGGGGGCGGTGTTTCATGCCCCGGGGCGTTAAACGCCCGTTCACGCACCGCAGTTCATGCCCCAGGGCGTGAAGCTCATTTCCAATGCTCTAAGGCACGAACCACAGTTCTCACCACACAAACTATGGATTGGTCGGAAACCTGGGAATGTACGATGTAATTCCAAGTCTTTTTGTCGTCCATATATCTGCTCCGTAGAGGATTAACCCGTTGCAAGAATCGATTAAGAAGGGGAATTTTTTCGGGGCGGAGGAGTTGACGGTGCAGAGCTCGGCGTTGTGGGGGTAGTGGAGTTTCAAGAAGACGGATTTTTGAGTGATTCCGGCGCCTCCGAAGGACCAGAGGTGGAGAACGAGACCGGAGTCGGTGACGGGCGGGTGGTGGAAAGAGAAGATGGTTTCGACGATTTCGTCGCATAGATCTCCGAACTCTGTCGCCGGCGGGATGACGGCCATGGCGACCGCCTCTGCTTCTTTGTCCCTCCCCCCTGTTTCTTGATTTTTCTTCACCATCTATTGTTCATGAGCGGCTACCTAGGCCGACGACGTCAACAAAGAAGACACGGCAGGGACAATGGCTACCTCAAGTATGTTTCGATTGTTTTTAGCATTAGTTATTTATATCTCATACTAAAAATTCGGGCATGCTTACCCATGGATTTCACAGCTAGGGTTTATAATAATCAATATTTTCAGATTCCCTTCTAGCAATCTCTAATGAAAGTTTGATTTTAACTTCTGGTGCAACCTTAGCACTGTAGTTTCGATCTTCAATCGATTTTAAAAGATGATTTTGTTGAAACACGGGCTTGTCACGTTTTCTTACTAAAGCCGTGTTCGTTTTTGTAACAGGTTTTGATAATGCCAAACCGCCGTGATCAAGTCGAACATTGAATATACAAGGCGAAGAACGAAGATAAGAGCAAGAGCTAAACGAAGACCAAGAACGAAGACCTTAATCATAGTATTGAGTCGGTCTTTATTGTGATCAAGACCGACCCAATCTTTACACCTTGGCTCTTTAGGCTAAAAACTCTCATTGCATTTCTTACATCATAAAAATGTTTTTCAAACTTGTTTAAGTCATTAAAAACACTTGGTGTTCGCCCAAACCAAAAACCAAGCCATCCAGTGTTCGGCTTTCAGAAACCAGCGTTCGGCTTTCGGTTGTCGGGTTTGGTTTTTGGCATCCGAACCAACCAAGTGGTTTTCAGCATTTTATGATCTTCTTTCACTCTTTGGCATGTTTAAACAGTTCTCCAACAAAAACACTTTGAAAACCATCTCTCGCTTTTTAGTCGTTTGACAAAAACCACGCAAAACAGCGTAAACTTGGCTAACCGTGGTTTTTACTCAAATGACGTGATTTT